AACACCCACACAAGCAGTCATTACAGTGGCACAGATTACAAGTGCCCACAATTGCCCCCTTGTACTTGCTGTGGGGAGGAAGCACCTACCCCCTCCAGGTGATTTGGCAGGCTGCTCTGCAATGCTCCTGGGAAGAATCAGACTGGAGTTTTCTAGGGGCTAGTAGGTGTTAGAAACAGAACTGAAGGATATTGATTGAATTACATACAAGAGATACTGCAAGACTGTATTTGAGGAAAGCTATAATCATTTGTTTTTACAAAGGTACTGTTGAAGCTCAGTACAAGTTCTGTTCTTCTGGGCAGGTGATACATGCAGAATGGAGAAACAAGTAATTAATTCTTGTGCTAGGTATCCAGCTACTGTAAAAAATAGATTACTGTATTTTCTTTTATACATACCACCCTTTTCCCAAAATACAGCTGCTGGAAATTGGAGTGTACATTATATGCAAGGAAAGACAATAAAAGCAGTTTCTGCTGGTTACTGGGCAAAAGCATGTGATCTACAGGGAGTAAAACAATGAGCAGGCTCAGCTCTGTAGCTGCTCCTGCTCTGTTACTCCAAGGAAAAACCTTTTCTCCCTTCCTTCTGCTTTTCAGAAACAAGATATGTATCTTATACTAGGCACAATGTATGGAAGAAAATACAGCCTTGCAGTCAAATAGCAAGAAAGAGCACACTGATCTGAATCAAAACTTGTTTTTTTTTCCTTCTCATTTGCCTTCTACTTCATCTTCAGCAGCAGCATCTTCAAGAAGCACAGATTATTTTAATATGTGATAAGTTGTGTGATAGTGAAAATAAAGTTAGTTTTATTCCTACATTGTCCAACTGCAATTTTGTTACTCCGTGTGCTTAAGTATCAAGAACTCCTAACTCCAGGAAAGTCTTCAGATGTTTATCAAGTTAGTATTCACTTCTTTGGATTGATGGTTTGAGGTATTTATACCAGCACTACACCATTTCATAGAGCTGAAAATCTGTGTGCGCCAGAGTTGGTTTTTTTATTGCATCTAATTTAAAAAGTTTTGAGTAGGAAATGGGCTTCCAGGAAGTTTCTGAATGCTGAAGTGGAAGATACGAAGAGAGATGCACAAAGCAATATTCATAATGGGTATCATCAATTTCATGGTAGCAACTACAAAATCAGTGTTTTATTTATTCCAGTGGACAACTGAGCATCACCCATACAGCCTGATATATTGCTGACCAGCTTAAAAATATGATCAATGAATTGGATCCACAGAAGATTATTTTATTTGTGACTGACTGCTGCTAATATGAAATCTGCTTACGTTTTCTTGATAAATGAGCATACACATCTTCTGTGTTATTGATTGTGTTGTCCATGTAATACAGCTCTTATTTGTGACTAGCAAAGTGCCCGTCATTCTTGACGGGCAGGCAGCCAGGGCGGAGCGCCACCACCCAGTGCCCCGTGCTGCTGCTACTCCGTGTCCGGCCAAGCACAACCCCTCCCCACACCCACCACTCTGTGTCTGGCCCCATGTGACCCCCACACCTGACACACACCCAGCCACACACACACACACACACCCAACCAACCATGCCCCACACCCCCAGCCACATGCCACACACCCCCCCAGCCACGTTCCATCCCCCCCCAGCCACACGCCACACACATACACCCACCCACCCACCCAGCCACACATCTACCCCCCAGCCACATGCCACACACCCCCCCAGCCACGTTCCATCCCCCCCCAGCCACACGCCACACACATACACCCACCCACCCACCCAGCCACACATCTACCCCCCAGCCACATGCCACACACCCCCCCAGCCACGTTCCATCCCCCCCCAGCCACACGCCACACACATACACCCACCCACCCACCCAGCCACACATCTACCCCCCAGCCACATGCCACACACCCCCCCAGCCACGTTCCATCCCCCCCCAGCCACACGCCACACACATACACCCACCCACCCACCCAGCCACACATCTACCCCCCAGCCACATGCCACACACACCCCCAGCCACACCCACCCACCCACCCAGCAACATGCCACACACACACCCACCACACACACACACCCACACACCACATGCACACACCCAACCACGCACCCACCCAGCCACATGCCACACACACCCAGCCACACACTGCAGCCACACACACAGCCACACACACCACCACAGCCACATGCAACCCCCACCCCCAGCCTCATGCCACACACACGTGCCTCACTGCCTGGCCCAGCCTGCCACATGGCGGGACTCACATGGTGCTGCTGCCAAAGCAGGGGCAGCGAGGGAGGGAGCAGAGGTGGAGTGGAGGCTACAACTTCAGCTGCCCCTGCCCTGTGCACAGATCGGGGGCCACATGCCCCCCTGGGCTCCCCAGCACCACCTGTGGAGAAGCCACCAGGCTCTGAGTGTCCCATGGCCCAGCTCAGCCAGGGCCATATTCACCATGACTGGGGCCTCAGTCGGGCTGGGTCGTGGGGCCAACAGAGCCTGGCAGCTCATCAGGTGTGCAGTGCCAGAGAGCCCAGGGGGGTGGTGCAGGTCCCGCTCTCCTGCGGTGCCCACAGTGGCCAGAGCCACCCACCCATGGGCCTGGAGGAGCTGCTGGGCTCCCATGGCCCCATGGCCTGGCTCAGCCCGTCTCCCCCAGCCCTTCTGGTGGTGGCAGCAGGCCACCGCATCCTCCCTCCCCTTTCCGCGCTCCACACCAGACTGCAAGCATGGCACCCTGTGGCTGCGCATCCTGCCCCCCACTCTCTGTGTGCCCCATGGTCGCAGCTGGCAGTCGCTCCCCGCAGGGAGCGGGTATGGGGGGTGCATCCCACCCCACGGCCATGTGCTGCAGCTGGCGGGTGCCATCTGTGCATCCCTACACTGGCTCCCAGATACCCTGCACCCCACAGCTACAGTCAGTGGGCAATCCCTGCATGGGGGGACCTGGCGCATGGCCACAGGGTGCCGTGTGGGAAGCGGGTGTGGGGGGTGGGTGCATTGTGCCCTGCCCCATAGCCACATGCTGTGGCCATGCGTCACACCCCCCACAGGACTGCAAGCTATGCCCCTCACCTCACCTCCCCTCACACAAAGGAGCACACCTTGGTCCCCACTGCCTCTGCCTCTGGCTTGCCTCACCTCACCTCACCTGTGTGCCTGTCAGTAAGGCTCTGGGCAGTGCATGCACAGTTGGCCCTCAGTGTTACAGGCAGACAGACACACAGCTGGAAGTGCTATGGCTTTTATTATATTAGAATGTTGAAGATTGCCAACTTTCTCATCAGATGTATCAAAACTGAAAAGCACTGTCAAGTTTTTAGAAAACTACCAGCAGCTATATTTCAATACCACTTAGTGCTGCGTTGAGTTGCATCCACACTGAGTAAGCCTAGTTGTACTCAGTGGCCATCCTTTATTAAATCTCTCAAAGATCTTCAAGCATGCAAAAAAGTACTTCATTCAGCTGCTGTTGAAGGAGGGGCCAAATGTTATCCTCAAATAATCCACACTGACATTCTTGATGATAGCATCTTTTGGCTGAGAAACTCAAAAGTTTCACTGCTTGAGCCTGTCACTCAGGTCATTCAGAATATGGAAAGTGATAATTCTGCATTGCCTGAGACTAAGAAACATATTTGCAAGAATACTGAACAAAATCCAGTAATGAAAGCTTGAAGAGGAAAAAAAAAAATAGACAAACTAATATCAAGTGATCCCTCCAGCACATAATTTTGCCTACTTTCTTGATCTACATTTCCTGGCTGTGACCTTTCTAATGATTAGTCTGAAGCAGCTTGCAGCCTCATATTGGTTATTGCAAATTTTAAAGGGTATAAAAACAATTTACTCACTATGGTGAAGAGTGTTGTGTCCTCCTTGCAGTTGAATTATAATGATGACAGAAATACTTTTAACACTTGCATGCACTGTGGAAAAAAATGGTCACTTACAGACATCATCCATTCAAAAACTAGGAATAAATTGAAACTTCCACTGTCAGGAATGTGGTGACTGTATATCACAATTTAAGATTAGAAAAGTAGATGAAAGATAAAGAGTTGACTCAATATTCAGAGAGGAAAGAGATACTGATGATGACGATGTAGATAAAACAGTTGAAGTTGATGAAGATTATGCAAAGTAAGTGATGAGTTGGCCTTCTGCGTACTTAGTATAACTGCATTTAGGTCTGACTTTTGTCTTGTATAGTTGCCATGTATGCTTTATTTTTGTTTGATTATTTTTATTATTTTAAATTTTGTAATTATTTAGACTGACCCTGGGTTTCTGGAATAAAAGACTAGGAAAGGAAGAAGAACTGTTCAGCCTTGAACATTGTTCACATTTATACTTACCTCACAGAGTTGATTACAGTAATTTATTACATTTTTTAAAATTATATTTCATTGTTTCACAATAACAGCTATTTTTTTTTTGTTCTTAACATAAGTATCAAACTGGTTGAAGTCTGAATCTCCATTTTTACTGTAGTAATAAACTAATGTTTAAAATATTTGATTATTATTTGACAATATTTGACAACATCAGACTGGTCAAGTGACCAAATCAGTGCATCTATATCATAATTTTCAGCAAAAATGGACAAAACTTTGTAAACTCTATCCGCAAATATATTTATTGTACTAGCTTGTCTTTCACTAGATACAGACTGTTAAAGTAGTATCCTTTTCTATGATGTAATGCCAATCACAAAGCAGTAATTTTTTCCCACCTAAAAAATCACCCTTGAGTGTGAAAAACATCTTTCCACGGCCTATGTTGTCTTTATTATTAACTCAGCATTGTTTCCTACAAATATGATTTGTCATTCACCAGATTTGAAATGTAGATTTAAGTTACACATAGTTATAAAAAGCATAGAACAGCACACACTGTACCACTGTTTAGACCAGAAAATGTTGTGTTGTTCCATAGATAAGAGCGCTATACAAGCAAAGCGCCATCAATTCTCCTTTAGGGATTCAGTCTCCAACATTGCAATTCCTTCCACTTCTTTTTCCTCATTACCTTTCAGAGTTCAGCTGCTATTCACTCTGATGCTTCCCACATGAGATTGGAACCAAAGAGTAATTCAATCCTGTTCCAACACAGGGTACAAAACCTTAATTTCCTACTGGCTCTTGAGAAATGTTGTCCTCCCTCTCTTAATATTTATATACAATATATGAAGGGATATTGTGTCTTTGACTTAGACATATCTCTTGCCTCGTACTTAAACAATAGCTTGAAAAATATTTTACAAAGGAAAAAAAGATTGTTCATCTGGATGCCATTCATTATTATATTGCTATATTTTATACCCTATTATTAATATATACAAAAATTCTTAGTTGCCTTTACAGATGCATGGAAGCATATAATATAATGGTTTTAAAGTATCCCATTTTTAGATTTCTTTTAACAATTCTTGGCTCATGACAGTTCTCTTTAATAAACTATAGTTGCACGGAGAATATAGGAACTATCTGGAATGTTGCTTAAGATTTAATAACTGATGGCATTGTCCATGTAGAGTTTTGATGGGTCAAGCACCTGTCACGGGGATCTGGTTGAGATAGCAGCATCATAAGTCTAAAACAATTTTGTAAGGCTGTTAGTGTGCAGTGCCAATAGGTTCTGGTTTCTGTTCTTTATTTTGGCCTTTTCTTTTCTTCGGCTGCATTTTGTTTTTGTTTTCCCGCTGTTCTTGGTTTTGTCTTCGGGATGCGCGACCTTTGTTTTCTTGCCTTGTTTCCTTGCTTTCTTCGTTAGGCTTTCTCCTTTTCTCCTCTCTATTTTTTTTCCCTGGAACGAGACACATGGCACATTATGAAGCATTTTCATAACCTTTAATTCCCCTCATTTTGCCAACAGCCTGTAAAATTGTACCTGGTTACTAGCTCACAATGCTGATGGTTAAAACAGAACAGTAATATCATTGTTCGGTAAGCAACAATGGATCCCCAACTATAGTAAATCAAATTCTGAGACCAGATTCTTTACTTCCGTGTTGTGGAAAGTAGCTTGAGTCTGATCCTCCACAAATAGCTGAGCGCTCCCTGGAATGGAGGAATTTTTAGGTAGCATAGGGTTTGATAGTTGGATGCTATGCTAACTTTTCCACCCTCCTACTCATGCACAACATTGGCAAAGAGTGGTAAATCTGTGTTCCACCGATTGTTAACTGGTGTCTGGACTCCTGGGTCATTTATACACATACCTTTTCATCCCGGGATATGCCAGAGATCTGGCGGGTTGGAGCAGACTCCATTAATCGAATAATCAAGTCTGCTCCACACGTGAGCTGATGTGCACTGCGCTGCATCACGTGCAGTTGTATAAGTGGCGAAATGCATGTCAGCACACAGAAAATGGCAGCAGTGTGCTTTTGAACTAAAACACCTTTGAGGTGCTTTAGTTTAAAAGCGCGCTGCTGCCATTTTCTCGGTGCTGATGAGCATTTTGTTGCTTATACAACTGCACGTGATGCAGCGCCGAGTGCTTTTAAAAGCGCCCAATGCTGTGGCACAAGCATGTGTACAAATGCCCCTGACAACTAAACCAACTGGTGGAAGTTAGAGTTCCTCCTAAGCTACTATCTTAGATCAGAGCAAGGAGCCGGAGCAAATACAGTATTTGAGAGAGAGAACTGTAATCAGTGCCCTGATTATTCCCCACATCTGCTCTAGAGCTCTACTTGGCCTAGGATAAGCTCTGAGACCTAATGCTTTAAAATTCACCCCCTACTGCAGGGGATTTCCTGCTTTGCAGGGCAAACTGCTTAAAATAATATCAGTTCCAGCACTGGTAGGAAAACCTAGTTAAACAAAATCTGAAAGCCCCAAGTGTTGAGCCTTTTACTCATTGATGCAAACCTTCTGTATTCAATAACTTTGCTTTACCGCTGTAAATCTTTCTGAGGATTTTGTTACAATTGGGGATCTCTTGAGTAAAGTTTTCAGTCCCTTAAAGAACAGTGAAATGTTGCATACTGGCTTTGGATTACATTGGTAATGTATTTATTCTTCTGGCTCTTATATTTACATTAGAAATACATGTGTATTTGAAATATCGGTCTAAACTTGGCTTCACAGACAAGCATCAAGCTGAGTGAACTTTCTGAGCCTGTCTGTACTCAAGCAGTCTTGGGGAGTGTATGGCTGAGCAGATCCCACCCCTCCCATTCACTAATGTGCTCCAGATTCAGAAGGTCGGCCTTGTCTACGGCACCTGCTCTCAGAGCTCATCGACAAACCTAGAGTAACATCACTCATGAACTTGCAGCTCTGAAGTGAATCAGAGGATGTGGGGAGGCAGGGCGGGTTCAGCCCTGTGCTTCCCAAAACCATCTGTTGATGCAGTATAGACATTATACATGAGAAAACTGTCCTGTGTACTGTGACCTATGAATTAAATTCACCTTTGTATACAGAAGTCCCACTGATCCCCTCAAAGCACAGTGTGACTGAGGCTACAGCAGTATAGTACAAAGGCTCTTCTGGTGATTTCCTTCATAAGACAGGGGCTTTTTTCTTTATGAGAGCTCTCATGAGGCACCTAGGCAAAATTCTGCTTTATGACATCAAGGAAACATTGCGTGTCCAAAATAACTATTACACCTTAAAGTGAAAATATTCCAGGTCAGGTATCACAAATGCCTATGGTCAGAAATACTCTGGGTTTTTCCTAGAAAACACAAAGACAACTAAACCTGATTATTAGGTGATAGTTTTCCTGGTGTGTTTCAGATGGAGAAGGCAATGCACAGGAGGAACCCTGTTTCTTGCCTATGGTACTCTGAGGACAGGCTGAAAGCCAGTTCAGGATATGAAGATGGAGGGGTATGGCTTTAGCCAGAGGGAGCAACACCAGGGCTGTCAGAATAGGGGAGAGGAAGACAGGGAAGGTAACTTGTATGATGGGGAAAGGCAAAGACTAAGAGTAAGAAAGGGATATGTTGCAACCTCTATGTGCTGTGTAGTTTCCTGGCTTGTCTCCCAGAAATGCCCTGCAGGTCTCTCTTCTACAACTTTAGACACTTGAACTGCTGTTTACACTCCAAAATTACTCCAGTGATTTTTGATAACCAGACCAAAATGAACAAACAAACAAACCAAAAGTATAAAAGCCTCAAGCCCCGAAAGCCTCAAGCCCCCACAAATGCTACAACCCTCTTAGCCGCACGGTTGCTCTCTGAATGGCAGTTCTTCTGCAGTTTGCACAGTGATAGGGGGGAAGCAGCTGTCGTCTAGGGAATGCATGCCCAGCTCTCAAACAGAGCAGAGGTCCTGTCTCAGGATGACTGTGCTTCAAGCCCAGTTTTGATAACATATATAAAGGTTTCAGTAACAATTTTGAATTCCGTTCCAAAAATTCTGTAAAGACCGCTGACTCCAAATGAAATGTTATTTTCATGGAAATCATCCAGAAACTCAGTGTTTGACATTGTTCACTTGGTGATTGTCCAACATCTTACAGCTGTGACCTCCCAACCACAATTCTTTGGGCACAGTGGAAAGATATCCTATCACTTTACAGTCCAAAAGCTGGTGAGTGAGGTGGACTGCCGTATAAGTGAGACAAATGTTAGAATATACATGTTAAATGTACATTAAGATATGAATGCTAGTTTAAATGCAAATATTTAATAGATAAGATGCTACCAGCTGCTCCAGAATAAACATTGTGGACCCGAGAAACTTTGTTGGGACTATAGTACATCAGACTACAGCAGGGATGTACAATTATTTAGGTCTGTGGGCCACAAAGCTGCTTGGCGTGGGGGAAAAGCAGCTCCTCCCCCTCACCACTGTTGTGTCCTTCTTGCTGCAGCCGCCCAGAGCCCGTGTCAGGGCTGCCCTGCAGCACTTCGCTGCTGTCACCACTGCCTCTGGGCTGCCCAGCAGGACAAGTGGTGGCAGTGCAGAGGAGCCGCAGGGCAGCCTGGGCATGGGCTCTGGGCAGTTGCAGCGAGGGCTGGCAGCGATGAAGGAGAGGGCTGCTTTTCCCCTGCACTGAGCAGCAGCTTCTGTCTGGCTGCCACTGCTGCTGCTGTAGCATGGGTAAGCAAGTCTGGCGCAGGCGTGGGGTGGGCCAGGGTCGGGGCTGTGTGTGGGTTCTAGCTGGTCAGGAGCTGGGCCGACTTTGGAGCAGGCGTGGGGAGGGCTGGGGTTTGGGGCTGTGTGCACAGGTCCCTGCCAGTATCATGGGGATGGGGCCAGTGGCAGTGGCAGTTGGAAGGAGCTGCTGCTGCCTGGGCTGCCTAGAAAGGCAATCCAGCAATGGAGTCACCTCATACCCACTGCGTGCCCAGCGGGTGGCGGGACAAGCCATAGGCTGATGATGCCTGAGCCAGGTGTGACCAAGGGACCCACTGCAAGCTGGAGAAAGTCCCTCTGCGAGCCAGATTCAGCCCACAGGCCATATTTTGCCCACCCCTGAACTACAGGGTTCCAAACTTTAAAATCTTTACAAAACTGCACTGATTTTTCTATGATTTTGTTTCAGAAGTAAACACAAAGAAAAAGGTCCGACAATGTTGAAATGTGCTATTTTGACTTATTTGGACAGGAATATATGAATTTTTCATTGAAATTACTTCAGGGGTTTTGTTTTATAGAAGTTTGGATTACATAACACATACTAAGAGGCAACGCTCAAATGAAGCATTGTCATCAAAATAAGACATTTCAGTTGTACCCAAACATTTGTTTTTAATTTTTACTGTCAGAGAATTTTAACATTTGTCTATTGTGTTCCTGCAAATAGCTTTTTCTATGCCACTCTTTTAAGAAACTTTTGACATGACCCACTGTGAACGAGCACATATTGCTCCTTCTGTGAAGCAGGCTTTGCACTAGAACTTCGCATTTCTCTTGCTGTTGTGAAACAAGTAATCCTAAAAGAGTCAGTTCTGCACTTTTTTTACAGCAACCACAAATTTTCCACCACGCAGACCTGATGCATTAACTCCTTTCACTGCTATTTATAAAAACAGGGAACAGCATGTGATGGCATTATGTTGCTCATTTTCTTTTCTGTTCAACTAGGATTGTATACTTTATTGACAAGTAATTGTTGGAGCATTTTAAGCCATTTGAGCTGAATGCTAATGTACATGTTTCTTGCTGCTGATATACGCCCCAAAAGATTTTCACTATTTAACAACAGTTTTCCTCATTTAATATTATACAGATCCTGGCTGCATCTACATGTGCAATTAGTGCTATATGGGTTTACTGCACAGTAATTTACTGCACAGTAAAGCCGCCCTGGGCAAGCATTTACACGTGCGGCCATTTGGGAGCAGATTTGTTCCTCATGGCACTATCCTGCCCCCTCCTTCAGCAGCCAGGGGGAGCTGGAAGCTCCTGCCACAGCTGCCTGTGGTTGGGAGCCCTCTCTAAAAGCCCTGTGCAGTGCTCCTTAGCCACCTGCATTTCTGGCCTGGAGCAGCCTGCACTGCTCTCTGCAACTGTTGCCAGAGCCTGCTGCTCCAATCCCAAGCCCCGAGAGCAACGACCTGTTCCCTGGGCTCCTGCTTGCAACCCTGCTCGCCATGCTTCACCACCATGGCAATCACCTCCTGGCCCAGGACAGAGTCATTCCTGCCTGCCCTTCTGTGTTATGTGGCTCAGGGGGCTTGGAGAAGGGGGTTGTCTTCCCACCAGCTCTACATCCCAGTCAGCTGGGAGCTCCAAGCTCCTTGAGCCCTGGCCTGGGTGCAACAATGGAAATGGCCTAGCCTACAGGAAGAGAAGGGGGTTGTGGGTCTGGAGCAGCTGCAGCAGGTACTGCCAGGAGCC